GAACAGTATACTTTATTTCTTCACTACTATCTCCATGAGCAAGTGGCATCCTTCCGCCTAACTTGCAAATTTCTCTATCTTCAACTGAATGTCTTCCTAGACTTGGCTACCAACGGCTTTTGTCAGCCAGAGAACCTGGATACTCCTGAAGATGATCAAGAGGGCGGTGGCACAGCCGAAGGAGGAATGGGATTGGCTGATGGCGAAGGTCAAAAAGACGTTTCAGAAAGGATTGAAACGGAGGATCAGTTGGAGGAAGCCAGAAATCCAAACGAAGAGGAGAAGGACAACGAAAGGAAGGATATAGAAGAGAGCGAGAAAGGTATAGAGATGTCGGAAAATTTCGAAGGCCACATGCAGGACCTCGAGCAACGCGAAGAAGAAGAAGAAAATGACGAGGAAGGCGACGATCTCGACAAAGAAATGGGCGAGACTGACGAGACTGCGGAGAAGCTCGACGAGGAGATTTGGAAAGACGAGGAGGAGGAGGAGGAGGAGAACGATGATGAAAATGAAGATAAAGGAAATGAGAAGGAAGAGAAGGGAACTGGTGAAAAGACTGGGCAAGAACAACTAAGTGCAAAAGACACCGATGAAGAGAGAGAAGGTGATGGTGAGAGGAAGGAAAATGAAAGGAAAGAAATCAATGAGTTTGAAGAACCAGAAGTGAACGAGGATCAAGTGGATCCCTACCATGGACAAAATCAACCAGAGATAGAGCCAGAATCCTTTGAACTTCCAGAGGATTTCAATTTGGATGAAGAAACGAAAGAGGATAATCCCGAGGGCGAGGAAGAAAATCCTTTTGACATTGATCAGATGAAAGAGTCGACAATCCCAGAAGAAAAGGAAGATGGGTCTGAAAATAAAGAGGAGGAAGATAAACCCGAGGAAGATAAACAACGGGATTCTAGCGATGAAGACGTTAATGAAGAAGAAGAAGAAGAAGAAGAAGAAGAAGAAAAAGAAGGAGAAGAAAATAAAAATATAGATGCTGACAAAAGAAGGAGTGAGAAAGTTACGAATCCTGAAAAGGATAAAGAGAATGATACAGAAGAGGAAAATATAGAGGAGGAAAGTCGAACAGAGGAAGATAAAGCACCGCCTAGTTTTGACACAGGGAGTAAGGAAATCGATGCCTCGCAAGAAGTTGAATCTCGAAAAGATGGATCTAGAGATGCAGTAGAGAGTCAGTCAAATGAAGAACAAATGGAGATAGATCCTACTGATGAAACTGGTACTAATGATAACAAAAATAATGGTAATTTCATTGCTTGTCTTTTTGAATACTTAAAAATTAAAAGTTATTATATATAATTACTGTTTTCTTATTTATTACAAAGGAACTGGCCAGTCACAAACGGAAGAACGCGAAGGGCATTCTGGATCTAAGCAAGAAGAGAACGTTCCCATCTCTGGCAAGGAGAGATCCTCGAAACCTGTTCAAAAACGAAGAAAGCCAGGTGAAAGCGACGAAAATCGTAGTTTACTCGACAGTGAGACTCAACCTTCGGCAAAGAAATTAAAAACCACTGCAATGCAGGATCTAGATAGTCAGGAAGAACGAGAGAAAGATGAAGGTGTCGGTGGTGAGAGCGAGACTTACGAGCACATTAAAAATTCAGAGGAATTCGACGATTACGTTTTCGACGCTGCGACTGAGGAGCAAACTAAAAAACAAGCGTCGAATTTGGAAGAAGGTAAATTTCTTTCTAACTTAATTTAGAAGATGATCTTGCTTTCTTATAACGAATCGAATGACCTAGATTCACTGTATTCTTTGCTTTAACGATAAGTTCTGATTTACCGTAAATTAATTCCACGATTGATACATTTAGACGAGAAGGATCAATTGGATGATAAATTGGAGGACGTTGAGATGCACGAGGAACCAGAATCGAAGAACGAAGAGGAAGAGACGAAGAAGGAACAGCCTCGGAAATTGTCAGAAAACAAACAAGATAAGTCTGAAGCGAACGTGAGAGGTGAAAAGTCGAACGATGCGGAACAAATTGAGATAAGAGGAGGCGAAGTCGAAGGCGAGACCGTGGAAACGAGCCGTGTTTTGCGAGGAAACGAATCCACCATTCACACAAAGTTGTCGGAATTCGAGTGTAACGATCTGCCTGTGGATGTCGCCCAAAGGAGATCCGAGATCGAGAGTATGCTAGGTCAGTGCTCTCGAGGACCATCCTCGATGGAAGCAACAAACGCCTGGAGTTCGATAAGCGCCTTAACCGAATCAGCTGCCAGGGAATTATCTGAGAAACTGCGGCTGGTGCTAGAACCGACGCTCACGTCCCGATTGAAGGGCGACTACAGGACTGGCAAGCGCATAAACATGAGGAAAGTGATCCCTTACATTGCCAGTGAATTTCGAAAGGACAAAATTTGGCTGAGACGCACGAAACCCTCGAAACGAGACTATCAGATAATGTTAGCCATCGACGACTCCAGCAGCATGGCCGATAATCACTCAAAGGAGCTAGCGTTCGAGTCCCTCTCGTTGATCGGCAAAGCTATGACCTATTTGGAGGTGGGTCAGCTTGCTGTCGTCAATTTCGGGGAACGGGTGAACGTTCTTCATCCCTTTGGCGAGAATTTTACGGAGGAGAGCGGCGCCAGGTAATTGTAGTTGACGATTAAGTAAATTTGTTGATGGTTTCTAGTACTCGTGCCAAATCTAACAACTCAGTAGTAATATTATTAATTGTTAATGATACATTGGTAACTAATATTATTAATAGTTAATTACTTGGCACTGAATCGCTGAAACTTGAAACTAACCAGCTCTGGTCACCTCAGACAATATAAGTTAAACGTTTGGATTTTACCAGATTGATACAAGAAATGAAATTTGACCAGAGGAAGACGATGATCGGCGAGCTGCTCGATTTTGCGATAGAGATGTTTGCATGTCAAGGCCATTCCTCTGACAACGCGAAACTAGTAACTATCTTATCGGACGGTAGAGGCATATTTTCAGAAGGGACAGAAAGAGTAACTGCAGCTGTGAGGAGAGCCAAATTGTTGAATATCTTTCTCGTCTTTATAATAGTCGACAATCCCCTGAACAAGGTGAGCAGTGGGTAAAATTTATGGTTAAATGCGATACGATACAATGTTTGCGTTATTCTTTTAGGATTCAATACTCGATATAAGGATGCCAATTTTTGAAGATGGAAGATTACTGGGTATACGTTCCTACATGGACAATTTTCCATTCCCGTTTTATATCATTCTTAGAGATTTGGATACACTGCCTGTTGTGCTAAGCGATGCGCTCAGACAGTGGTTCGAAATTGTTGGCAGAATCGATACATAAAGGCAATTAGTAATTAGTAATATGGATAATTGCTTTTTTAAAATCTTTTTTTAATATTTTGTACTTGTAGCACTCCCTGATGATATTGAATGCAACAAACTTTTTTATGTGAATTTATATCCCCTTAATTTTTTAGCGCTTGAAAAAGAAAAATGTGAACTAATTTATTGTATTATTATAAGAAAATTAAATAGGACGTACGAAGATATTAATTATTTTTTTTGCAAATAAAAATTCACATGAAACCCTTCATAATGAAAACAAAAAATTGAATTCTATAGGTTTCAGAGACGAATTTTTGATCTGTACAGGGCTCAAACTAAGGTTTTCACTCTAAGAAATTATTTCTGTATAATAATGTACTAATTTTTTGCATGATCGATCAATTATTTGCAATTAATTTGAAAAATGCCTCCTTTTTTCCGTCGTGGCGCCATCTATCGCTAGATTGTTGAAACTAATAAATTTAGAAAATAGTTATTTGAGCATTCTATGGGTGAAAAGGGATATCGAAAGAAAGCTGAGGATCTAATTAAGAAGGGGCAATCGTAAAAGTTTAGAAATTAATCGCCTAAATTCCTTTTTTTCGCAATTGAAAATTTGCTCGTCTCATGGACATTGAAACACTAGCGTCGCGTAGCGGTGAAAAGGTGGAACTAATTGGTATCTCTGTCCTTGTCGCACAGTGTTGCGCTTCTTGTCTACTGATGGTGCTGCCATCTGAGCCACTCTATTTTCCGTTGGAACTAAAAGGGCAAACTGGAAAAATCCGATAGATGGCAGCACTCGTGCCGCAGACAAGGAGAGCGATAATGTGCAACAAGGACGGACATATATGCGCGCGACAGACAAGGAGAGAGATAGTGTGCGACAAGGACAGAGATAGCAGTTAGTTCCACCGTTTCACCGCTACGCGGCGCTAGCATTTCAATGTCCATAAATCGATCAATTCTTCAATTGCAAAAAAAATCAATTAAAGAACTTAAATCGTGACATTTGATAATTGCACCGTTGAAATTAAACCCTCTGCCTTTCTCCTGTATTCTGTTTAATTAAAAAAGTCCAAATAAATGAATGAATAAAAATTTACAAATTCTGATCAACAGATCGGACGTATCCTATGTTTGAAAATTCTCTTAGAATTATCTCGCGAATGTAATTCGAGGCGTGCGTCAAAAATCCTGAACGCATAATTTCGAATGTATATCTTTATTTAATCAATTTTTTAGATCAACGTTCCTCGCTCGTTACTGCCAACGTGCTATTGCGCGTACGCAATGTTTGTGTTCGCATACGCTCTGTAATCAGTCAAAATTATACATCACTCGATTTCTTATTTGCAATTGACTAAACTAATTGCAACATTTGGACAACAGTTTGCAAATCAATATGAATTCAATAGCAAGTTGTTGCAAACTATTGGGTGCAAAAGCGAGCAATGCACACGTGTTTGGAGGTTA